TGTTTATAATGAAGCACTAGACAAGTTACAATCCTCACAGGCTTGTCATTGTTAGGGCATTTGAATTTTGATTCCTTCGAATCTCCAGATTCATGATATTTCAGGATGAAAGGGCTTTCGATTCAATCTCAGGGGGGTTCAAATTAGGATGAGGCAGCCACAAGCTATCGAATCTAAGACCAGATTCTACCCCAGTCTGGGATTTTTGTTTTTCTTTTCTAATGAATTTACTACAGATCCAGTGCTTCCAGATCGAAGGAGTATGTCATACACCATCATTCCCTTGCTGCTAGATGCTGACCAATCCATAGCAAGTGCCCCCAAATAGGCAGTCCATCATGCACCTTCGACCAATTTCTTCATTGGATCGAAAGGAAGTTTAGGCCTCTTTTCGATCCAGGCCTGCATCCTGCAAGTTACACTTTTTTTCTTTACTGCCTAATCCATTTATCTTGCCTCTTTTATTATTTTATTTCTTCTAGTTTTAACCAACATGAAATCAGATAAAAAAATCACAAAAAAAATTAGATTTTAGTTTTTTTATTAAGGTTAATTTTTTCAATTAGTTAATTATTTATCTTAACATTTTCTTAAAACTAAAATTAAGTAGACTTAGATTTTATTCTCAAAATAAAATAAAACGCAAAAAAGGATTTCATTTTCTTTAGGATCTAGACGTCTTTTCAGGCTCACGCTCGTTTTTTTATTATTTATTTTAGCATTTCCATTTTTATATTAATCTATCTGCTTATGGGATGTAATAGAATTAACTAGGACTTTTTTACCGCTTTTCTTTATTTTTCCCAAGTTTTGGACATGTAATTAATCCCCGAAGCCTTGTAATAGCGTAGATTTAAATTCCCGCATTTTTATTTCTTATACATATATTAATTATTAGATGTATGCCTAATAGGATTGCATGATAAGACTAAAAATGAACGCTTGCAAACCTAACATCAAGATAAATAACTGAATACAATACAATTGCACATGTACACCTCTAGGGTACTCCCACTTTGGTTGCCTTCGGAAAAATAGTCACAACTCTCGAAACGTGAGAGATTTTAGTGGCTACCCTCCGGTTTAAAAAGATCATAAGTCCCTCGATGACCCTCTCGACGTTGCCTCGATAAAAATGATCTTAAAACCCTAGGATAGTTAGTAAAGTTTCTTGCTCAATTTCCTTCGTGACTATAAACGTCCCTTTGAATGTCCCTCAAAATATTCAACGATGGGGCTACATACTCATTAGTAGTAGGATAATAGTGTCTAAAGGAAAAGAGGAAAAGAACGAACCTTTCGAGTAAAGTAGATAGTTCCTATATGCTATGCTCAAAAAACAAATTTTTACACATACACAAAATTCTTTCAAAACATTTTCAAAAATGCTTATCAACACTCTTGAGGACTGATACAAGAGTTATCATAAAGTAAACTGCCTCACTATTGGAATTTCAAAATACTTTTCAAAAATACACAAAGCACAAAGTATTTTAAAAACGAGCTAAGAATCTAAGAGCCTGTAGATAACTACGGATGGAAAGGGTGCTAACACCTTCCCTTTCCATAATCTACCCCCTTACTCAAATAATCTCGAAAGGTCTTTTTCTGTTCTTTTCACCCTTTCCTTTTTTGGATAAAATAAAAGTCGATGGCGACTCTTGCTTACCGCAACATTTGCAAATACAAACGTAAAACCAGTATAAAAATCAGTTCCTCCACCGTATTACAACCTCTGTCTTCAACAACATCACGAGCATCCTTGAGAGATACAACTCTTGGTGTATCTTTAGCATCTTTGGGAGTTGCAGGAGTGGCCTTGGCAACAACAATCATTGGAGGGACCACTTTAAATGCTTAACAGGGGGTTTCAATGAATTCTCCATCCATTTCGACATATTTGAAAGAATTCAAACGACTGATCATGAACTCCTCCTCTCCGCAGACCGTGACAATTTTTTCTTTGACCGGGTACTTTATTTTTTGATGTAACGTGAAGGTAACTGCACCTTCCCCATGAATCTATGGGCGTCCGAGCAAGCAAGAATAAGTCAGGAGGATATCCATTACATAGAGTGTTGAGTTAAAGACTTGAGATCCAACTTTGATATGAAGATCAACCTCTCTTTGGACCATTCTTTCTGATCCATCAAAGGCTCTTACTATGCTATCACTTGGTTTCAGCACCAACCCTTCACAGCCTAATCTATCCAAAGCACCTTTTGGTAAAATGTTGAGGGAGGATCCTGTATCCACCAACACATGTTCTAAGATGGTGCCTTTACACTCAATGGAAACATGTAGAGCTTTGTTGTGATTCTTCCCCTCCAGAGTCAAATCTGCGTCTAAAAAGCCCAAACCATTGTCAACAGTTAAGCTTGCTACACAGTTTTTAAACTGGTCAATAGTAGTTTCTTGTGGGACATGTGCATTTTTCATGAATTTTAGCAGAGCTTGAGTATGTGCTTCAGAACACAGCAACAAAGACAACATGGATATCTTTGAAGGTGTCTGCTCTAGTTGTTCCACTATCTTGTAGTCACTTTTTCGGATTATTTTCATAATCTCCTCCATCTCTTGGCTAGTTGGGTCCTCAATTTCAATATCTTTTGTGGGCGCCTCCGTCCTGGAAGGCTCATTCATTTTTCCCTTCCTTCGAGTATCAACAACAGGTTTAACGACAGTAATATAAATGGGTGTAGATGTGGTTGTTGGAAGAGAGATATCTGGAGAGAAGATCCTTCTCGTCCTAGTGACTTTACTTGATCCATAAATGTTTGTAACTTCAACAACTTCATCTTCAGCAATCCATAGCTCTTGTTTGACGCCATGATAATACACTTCCTCCCCATAGTTTCAGGGCACTGCTTTGTCAGAAGAGTAGGGGACTGGCCCCAGTGCGGTGATAATCAGGGGAGCTATTCTTGGTTCAGCGGGAATCCTAATAGGACCTTTGGAGGTGATCCTAATAGGAGTGTTTGAAATGGTAATTATGGATACGTCTTCAAACTCTTGAGACACGCTTTTGGTCAAACTTTTCACTGATGGAGTTCTCTCAAATAGAATTTCACGGCTATCAATCAGGTGTTGGACACCTTTCTTCAGCCATATGAAACCATTAATTCGTGCAACACAATGGTAACAGTCTTCAAGGCAGGCTGGAAATACTTCGGCTTTCAACTAATTCTTTTTAACGGTCTTCAAAGGAGTGGTCAAATCATTGATAGAGGAAACTAAAGAGGCATTTTCAATGGCATTGAAACCCTTACCATGACTGGGCATGGGTGCCGTGATCACATTAGGAGTCGGTGGAGGGTCGAATTCAATTGTTTTATTGTCGATCAAGTCTTGGATTTTATTCTTTAAAGACTAACAGTCATTGGTATCATGTCCGGGACTGTTTGAATGGTAAGTACATTTTGCATTGGGATTGTATTTAGGAGAGGAGGTATCAGGGTTTTGGGGAGGATCCCTTAGTGTAATCAGTTCCACTTTTAGCAAGTGTTGTAATGCTTGGGACAATGGCATATTGATCTTAGTATACCGTCTTTCTTGAAAATCCGTCCTACGCCTATTCCCTTGTTGTTGTTGAATAGATGTAGGATTGGAAATTAAAACTGCCCCTACTGAGTGATGACAGTCCTTCTTAGTATGGCTCCTTTGCCCATACACAATATTAGTTTCCTTTTTTCCAGAAAATAGTTTTTTCACAATATTAGAGGTGGAGGCCATTGGTATATTCCTGCTTTTAACCCTCTCGCTAGTCAAGATCAATTCAATAAATCCAAATGATAAACTTCCAATCAGCAAGTTGAAGAAGGGACAAGTCAGTGTTCCCATAAACATGTCTACCAATTCTCTATCAGTGAGAGATGGTTGCACTCTTCCTGCCAGATCTCTCCATTTTTGAGCGTACTCTTTGAAGCCCTCATTTGAACCCATAGTCATGACTTGCAATTGCACACGAGTTGGTGCCAAATCAGAATTATATTGGTATTGGAGGTAAAAGACAGCAGCTAAATCTTCCCACATATGGATATTGGTCCCTTCCAATTGGTAAAACCACTCCAATTGTGTTCCAGATAGACTCTCTTGAAAAAAGTGCACCCATGGTTTCCTATCGGCGGTATGTGGTTGGATCGTGCAGACGTATGATCTGAGATAAAGCTTCGGATATGAGACACCATCATACTTGGAAAAGATATGGATCTTGAATTTGTAGGGAATGACCATCCCAGGAACTAGACCTAAGTCCCCAAAGTCCAAGTCAGGCACTGCTTGGATTTCTACAGCCTTTAGTCTGTCTTCTAACTGCTTATATTTGTCGTCAGCCAGTGGGTATTGCTCATCGGAATAATCCTCATCTTCAGAAATTTGATTATTCCCACCCCAGTGCGAATGCTTCTAGCATCTTCATCTTGATTATCATCCTCTTCGGAGGAGTCCTCTTCAATTTGAATTTGTCGGGCGGGGCCTTTGAACCTCTTCCCCATGTTGATAACAACTTTCTTCTTGGTCTTCTTCTTCGTGACGGGAAGCACCATCATTTCTTACTGACCTTTTGTCAAGTTGAGAAGAGTCTCTTGGAACTGAGTGTGTTGAGTCTGCAAGTCCTTGATGGTTTACTCGAGATCCATCTTATACTGAAATAAATAGTAGAAAGATGAGGAGACTTGTGTCGGAAAACCTGCTTATGATATGATGCGTGTTATGTAGATGCAATGTTTTCAAGGACCTTTAAGAGATTTAAATTTTCTTAGCCAAAGAGGAAATAAAACAACAATTGCATTAATAAGTTCAAATGTTACAATTGCCCCTTGGGCTTACAATGAAAAAGCAAAAAGGTCTCAAAGAGACAACAAAATGAAATCCTAAAACAAAAGACTCAGGTCTCCTACGAACGCATCCTCTTTAGTGTAATGTAAGCATTCAGGCTTTGCTCCTCGTGAAGTTGCCTTGTAAGCTTCAACACTTTCTTCTCGCTTGCGTAGAATTGGGTTTCAAAGGTGTCTCGGTCCCCCTTTGAGTTGAATCCACGATCTTTGCAATTCTTCGAGGTTGGTAGGCATGTTAGGATGTAGAATGGTATGGGGAACATCTCCTTCGGCAACGGGCTTCACAACTATTGATAGAATAGCAGGATATGACATTATGAGACTTTGGGCACGAGCTCGTACCCATTTGAGATAAGATTCAAGAGGGATGGAATTCTTATGCCCCAAAGTCTTGCTATCAACCTTGCTTACCATGCCCCAAGCATGCACAAATCTTCGATGATAACCTTGGACATCATTCTCATAGTCGAATATAATACCTTGAATGAGTATGTCTGGGAACCATTCCTTCAAACATAATCAAACTGTCGTAGAGTTAGAGAAGGGTTATAAGTAATACTTCTTCTAATACTCAAGAGTAGAACATTAAAAAACTTTCCACAACGATAAATAATAGTAATATCATCTTGAAAACGAGAGCACCACTTGATCAATTTACCTATATATGATCTATATACATTTTACTTTACTTTATCATCGGAATGTATTTTTACCTACACTTTCACTCAAGGTAGGTTGGACATGGTGCATGCATATCGAAATATTAAGGCCAAAAAGCAAATCGTAGGATCCATTAATTAAGAAAATAAGTGAGAATTTCTCAAATCCATGTGATGTAGGAATTGTGAATACTCATCTGAGATAGGATTTGTATCTTTACATCCGATTTTCTTGCACATGATTGAGTAGGAATATTTAAAAAAAACAATTAAATGACATTCATTAGAAAAGAGGGAAGCATATTTTTTAAAAATATTTCCGTATGTCGTTGAAAGCCTAATCAATCAAGAGTGCCAATTTGTCTTGATACAACTTAATGGTGAACGCCTGCTTACAACTAGTCTATAGGCTCTGTATATAATTGGAAAATGGTCCACAAGCTAGCACACATACAATGTATCATGTGTTAAATGAGGAATAAAACTTGCACGTGTTTCTCATTTTTCATTACACCTGTCTTATAAAAAGTGTTCCAATTGCATTTTTCTTCTCAATGTAATTGTTTTTTTACAATATTAATATAATATATATTTTTTATATTGATATTTTTATTTATTATTTTTCTCTTTATCCAACTACTCTATCAATTACAATTAATAAAGATATTTTAATAAATAATATTATTTTTAATATTAAAATTAAAATTCTAAAATTTATATCATTCGAATTTTTTTTTCTTTTTTCATTATCATTTATGGGGCATAATTTTTAGTCATTTTTAGTTTGAAATCACTCGTCAATACTATTTTTCTCCATTTTTATTTAAATAAGTGGTTATTCATATATATTTGCTTCTTTTTTTTTGTGTTTTTAAGTTTTCGTTATTTTGTGTAACGTTTATTGATTTTTCTGTCTTAATATGGTATTCGGTGGTTCAATTTGACATCATCACTACAACTCATTACAGATCTAATGAAGGCTTTGATGTCAATGTTGCAGATCTGGAAATATGAATATTCCAGTTACTTTTATTTTATCATATTTATATGTATTTTTATATTGACGTTGTATGCAGTGGCGGAGCCAGCATACGGCCAGGTAGGGCAGTTGCCCAGGCTCCGCCCAACCAGACTTCACCATCTTGCGCCTGAGATCTTCCATTGCCATCCTCCATGACACCATGCCGCAAACAGACGTACACCGTGGCTCCGCTCTTGTCGTTCTGGTAAAATGTCTCAGTCATTTTTTTCTTCTTTTTGCTTCTGTTTCAGTTCAATTCTTGCTACAACATTGATGTTGTTGTGTTGTTATTTATTATTGTTGCAGGTTGTGGTTAACTAGTTAATGGAGAATTGATGTCAAATTTGTCGTTTTGCGCTATGCCCACCAAGTGTTCGGTAAAAGTTTTGAACTGAGATTATTTTTCCTTTATCTTTTTTAGTGGTGGTTGATGAAATGAACAAGAGAGATCTTATGGTTCCATATGGAGTTATCATTACAAATGTTTCTGAAGATATTCGATTCGATAAAGGTGATCATGTTCGTTTTAAATCTGATGTTCTTTTATTTAATAAGGTCTTATCTAAATCAATTTTATTTTAACCGTGATTTCAGCTTAAATATCGGTTTGAGTTCTTCACTTCGACTTGAATGAGCTTCCAACTAATGATGTCAAAACAGGATGAGTGTTATTGTGCTGTTATTTTTTTATGTTCATGCTGAAACTGAATGAATTATATTCTTCTGTCATGTAATTTAACGCCAAGATGTTTATACAAGTTTTCATCTTTTGAATGTGATTTGATCTTGTAACTTTGTGTGAAACTATAAACAGGTTAGATGCACAAAATTAGTATGAAAATATGATGGAGTTGAGAGTATGAAATTGGTGGAAAAATGTCTAGTGAGGTGAGTTTACTATGAAAGTACTTTTTTAATGTGAAATATTATGAAATTAGTACGAATGAAGTTTTGTAATGAGTCAATGTCATAGTTTGTTTATTTTGAATGGTCATTTATTCAATTTTATTGTAAACAATGATGCAAGTAAGCACCACTTCCCCACAGCCTCAAGCAGAGCATGCAGAGTACCTTCTCTCATCTGTTAAGAAAACTTTGTGTATAATATGCAGAAAAACAAATTTAAAACTTTGTATAAAATTGATTTTTCCTAAACCAGATTTTTAACCAAGCATCCTATTTTCTTAGATTTACTTTACTCATGTTGTCCACCACAGATCACGGAATATGTTCGTTCAAAATTTGTTATGCGACAATGTTATAATGTCACTATTTGACAAAAATCTATGCAAACATACAAGACAAAAGTGTTCTACAGATTTCCTTTTAGCTCCTTGTTTTCCTGCTGATAAACCAAAATTCTTCGCCAATGCTCATCAGTTGTTTGATGTTTCCAGCATTCTGAAGAACACTAATGATGATAAAAAAAGATGAAGCAATCATACCGTGAATCATTTCTGATGTTGCTAAGATATGGTTCAAGTTCAGTCATTACATGGTGAGTTATTGTTTGTTTTCTGGTTGTCGTTGTTATTGTTTGTGTTGTAAATAGTCTTAAAATTATTGGAGATGTCTGAAATGGTTACCTTCTTTAACATTCAAATTAATTAAACAATTGACCATGATTGATATTTATGTCTAAATTCCCGCTGGTTATCTACAGTAACAGTTAAGTATGATCTCTTGTCAAGGTTTACCAAATATATCAAAGATATAGAAATGACTGCTCATTCCAATGGTTTTTATTTCTTGGATCTCTAACTCAAAAGATAATATATAAATTTCTATACAATATAATATAAATTTACGGTCTTTAAATGTTTGCCTAGGTTTAATAATTTTTCTAGCTCCGCCACTGGTTGTATGCTATTAACTTAGATGCTGCAAGAATATTTACAAATTAACTTTTTTCAGTTTTTAACAATCTTGAATTTATAATAATCGATGAATTTTTCAATTTAAATTAAAATATTTTTTTAATAAAAAAAATATCAAAATTAATACATCTAATGATTTTCTTAAAAATCATGCATTTTTCAAACATAACACTCTCATGAGATGGGATGATACTTTTCTTTTTTGGCCATCAATCCAAAGATATATGAAACATATATGATGATACATCAATGTCACGATCTCTATGAGAGTGTGATTCTTTTAATCTTTCGTGTTCGAGTCTTATCAAATGCTAAAAATTTATATGTGGAAGCATTTTACATGATTTTATAGAGACTTCCTCTAATGAGCAAAAATATTTTTCTTTGAATTAGTTGGCTTTAAAATTAAATATCATTAAAAAAAATCGTGACCACCTAACTCATCTATTCTTCTAATCAATATTATTAGAAGAAGAAAACAATTTTTAGAATTGCAAAGCTCAAACTTAAGTCTAATGCGAATTACTTCTCCATGTTATTGTAGCACTTTCACCCAAATCATTTAAGTGGAAAAATTGTAATTTCTGCTACACAAATTGCAAGCAAAAGCTACTTCTATAAATCATTGGTTGCTAAATTTTAATGGCTCCTTCTAATGCACTCTAATGCTTTGTTTCTTATTCATCTTTCCAATATAGATAATTATTACTCCTTTCATTTTAAAATCAATATCATTTAAAGTTTTTACATAGAGATTAAATAATGCAATTATATTATTATGAGACATTGCACTTTTATTAAATTAGTCTTATTAATCTATTAGAAGTAATGTGCAGAAAAATAAATATACGATACAATTGGAAAAATAAATATCATTACTAGATTGAAAATAGAGAGTGATATTTATTTTGAAATAAATTTTCTCTCTAAAATAACACTCATTATTGTTCTAACATATTGAATCAATAATAATTTCCTCTCTATTTGTGTAGCAAAAATTATTTTCAAATAAATAATTTTGGTGAAAATGGTAACATGGAGAATTAATTTGCATTAAGGTTAGGTTTGGGCTTCATCAAATGCAATTCTAAAAATAGTTTATTTCTTCTAATAACATATTCGCTCCGTCTCAAAATATAAGAGAGAAAATCATTTTCAATTTTTTCAAATAAAATTAAATGTAAAATGTATTTAGTTAACATTCTCTCTCATCTTTTTTATAATCAACAATCAATTAGATTTGTTTTTATATCTTCCTAAGCACTTTATTTCAAGAAAATCACAAGTCAAATGATTATGTTTTTTATTTTTTTTAATAAGTGTTTTTTTCTCTCTTATATTTTAGGACGGAGTGAGTAAATTAGAAGAATAAGTTGGATAAGTTATCATGATCTTTTTTTTGTCAAGTTATTTAGTAGTTAAAAATTATATTTTTAAGGTATGTTTGCTAATAGTTTCTTGCCTTTATTTTTTTGCTTACATTTATTTATTTACAAAATGAGGGATGTACACAAATATGTGTAAAATGGGAAAATGTAGTTTTAGGTTAAGGGGCTCGTCTTGTTTTGCAACTGTGTGTTTACGTATCCTCATCGATGGACGAGGAAGTCAGAGCCTACGTAGTTCTGGATTTTATTGGTTAGTTGCTTTTAATTTGTGAAAAATGTTTTGTCTTAGATTAATCACACAGAGGTGTGAGTGAATTTATCGCACGTAGCGGAAGTGGTGGTTTATTGTCTGAAATGTAAAAATTAATTTGATGTGTTGAATAAATTTTAAATGTGAGCAGAATTTTGATCTTTTTGATTTTTTTATTAATAGTGTATGTACATGTATAGAATTATACACAAGTTAAGG